GAAATATATCAATTAATTGTAGCTCATCAGATTCTTATGTGCTTAAGGGTATCTATTCAGCTAATCTTATCTTCTTTTTAAGTTATCCATCATGGAAAGTTCTGGTTTTATTTAGTTGTGTTTTGACGTAATACTAATTCTTATACCGCTCTCTTACATTGGCAGATGATGATTATTATAAATTCGCCATGTTCATCTTTTTTAGTTTCACTTTTACAGCTCATGTGCACCTTGTTATCTTATTTAGAATTAATATTCATCATTCTGGCATATATTGCAAGTCTTTTATGAGTTCTCTTGCTGGTATGGTTTGCCAAAATGTAACAAAAGACGTTTTGAATGACTGTAGGAGTATCTTGGTCCAGAGATCATTTCGCATTTTGTGATGCATGGGACGAGCACTTCAGAAATCATCAAGCATCTGATTACAGTTCTAAAGAAAACTTCCAATGACATTCCTGAAATGTTTCTAGAGGCACTGAAAAGGGTAATTTTCTAAATTATGTCTCCTTTATTTATTTCATTGATAATTATGAAAGTTTTTCCATGGAGTAACTGGCGTGTATTGTGTTTAGTGAAATGCTTGATGCAAATTATTTAAACTAGACCTTTCTCTGACGTAGTCCCTATATCCAGTTGTTTGACGAAGACTTTATGCATTTAAAATTAGGATTATCTAGTAATTAGTTGTTTTTATTTGACAAGTCTTATTTCCATAACTTTTTTTGTGAGAAGTCTTTAGAGGTAATTTGAACTAGCCATTTCATGAGATTGCAAATTAGATTTCTTTTCAAATTTCGGGGCTGATGCTACGGTTTTGTGGTAATTATGTTAATATTTAATTTTTGATTTGATTTTAATTTGAATAGATTAAAATGCCTCTACTTATGAATTTGTTAGGAGTTTCAATTTAAAGAAAATTTTATTGGGTGTTTAGGATTTTGAACTAATTTATTGTATTTATTGCGGGTGGTTTACTGTTTGAGATCCCAATTATATATATGAGTACTTGTGGCCCCTCCAATTTAATTTTAAGCCTTGGACAGAATGGAGTAGGTCCAAACAAGGTTGATGACGGTGCGGTTTATTGAGATTTATCATTTGTTACCACATATATAACAAAAGTTAAAAGCAATATTATGTACACGTGGTTAAACATTCAAGACAAGCTCTAAACTGGCTCAACCCAATATTCTTGTGAATGCTACGGAAATATGTTGGCTTCGATATTCCATGAAGACTTTCCTAATATGGGATTTTGCCATGTAAGGCCAATTGTGTAATGTTTAAAATTGCCATTCTTGGTCTAATTAGTATTCTTATTACAATAATGTAGACTACTTTTGCCAGATCACATATTAGCTTTTTCTTTTGTTTATTTCTATTTTTTCCAGACATGCCTCCTCTTAAAATGATTGCGATTTAAATTTATTTTAAACTCTAATGATATTATGTAAGTTCTCTCTTCATGTTGTCCATTTATGATTGATTATTCGTGAACTAGGCTTACCAGCGTCATACGGAGGAACAATTGAAGAGTAATTATGTAACCGTCACGGGAAAGTCTTTTACAGATTGTGTGGAACTGGCCAATAGGCTTTCAGCAACATTTTCGGGCGCTGCTCGTAACAAGTTTAGATTGGACATTTTAAAGATTGTTAAGGATGGTATTTCTTTTGCTTTTATTGATGCTCCGAAGCAGCTGTCTTTTTTGGAGGCAGCCGTTCTCTCATTCGTGCCTAAACTTGTACCGTCGGATATCCTTGAAATGTAAGTTGCTCTTGTGGGATTTGCTCGAATGACAACTGTATTTGCTATACTGTTAACCCCTTACTAATGCATTTTTTTTAATCTAGCTTGAGAGATGTGAAGAAAAGAGCAGAGAATGTGAACCCATACGAAAATCCTAGTGGTTGGCGTCCTTATCATGCATTTATTGAGCAATTGCATGAAAAATATGCCAAAAATGAGGTTATGCCAGGTATTTTTTTTTCTAAACTGAGCTTAATATTAACTTTACATGGTTGGATTTTGTGTATCTTTCAAGTATTTCTTTTATTTAACACGTATTATATTATTTTGGTTGTTTTTTACCTGAAAAAGTCATCATTTTTTCGCACAATATATGGATCGCTTGTAAAAGTTGATATGATATCTTATCTTGCTTGACAATTTGGGTTCTGTAATTCCCTTTGGAGTTGGTCATAATGCAATCTGTAAATCACTCAAAATTTGGCTACATATTTACGATTTAATTGTGTGCATCTTCGATGACAAATCCATATATGTAGCTTATTTATTAAATTTGGATTGAATTTTATTTATTTAGATACATGGGTGAATGAGCCAGTTAGATGTATTTTTCCAAAAAACACTATTTTTGGCCTCCATTGTTTTTCCTTGTAAAAGTTGAACTAGGTTAGCTGTTTTACAGACAACTTTATTTTGATGCAGGCAGTTGAAATCTGCTGAACTCAGTTTTTCTTTTGTTAAATATCGTGATCTTACTATCTATTTCTATTGTATGCTATACACCAACTTTGAATGCAAATGATCATATAGTAGTATAAGTTTATATAAACATAGGTTGCTTCTTACTAATTAAAAGCTTCTATTATATATATATATATATAATAGACTCCGACCATTCTTTAAAATAATAAAAAGAAAAAAAACATATATATATATATATATATCATGAACCATCGCGAACCATCGCAAAGGTGCCAACACAAAGGAGCTGCGACCCATCACAGTGGGATCATGGAAATCGTGAACCATCGCGAAGACGAATGAGACGAAGCGCAAAGCGGATGGCGGGTTCGCAAACTGTCACGATCCAGAATGGAGCATCACACGAGCTGCCACACCCATGCAGTATTTTTTGGATTCCTCTTGCCTTTCCACTCTCTTTCCTTTTGTGTAGATGGTTTTTTTGCTCAACAAGAGTTTATAAATTGTTGTTCTCTGTGTATGTAAGAGTCAGTTCTGGTTGTGCCTTCTGATTCTTGTGTGGAGTTCATTTTCCTTTTGTGGGTTGTATCCGAGGAGGTGGCGGTGCTCTGACTATATCATCTCCGAGACTGTGATTTTATCATTTTGTCTACGTTCCCCCAAAACCTTCTCCTTTCATTTTCCAGCCACCGAACTCTCCCTCCGTCATCCTAACACCCCGCTGACCACCTACAACCTTTTCTATTGCTGCCCCTATAGTTCTGCACCTTCCCCTCTTTTCCACCTACATCCCGTGGCTACAATCATCCCTTCCAATTGTCCATATCCCTCTAGCCGACTTCCGCCACCCATTGGGATACATTTAGAGTGTTTGCTTGTGTCGTGTATGTCAGTGTTGTTATTTCCCATTTGTGTCAGGTTGTAACCATATTTTTCTATTAATGATGGGTTTCTTTTGTATTTTCACTACTTTTCCTACTAGTTCCAGTATCATTTTTTGACCAGGTTTTTTTTGAAAAATCTACTTTGATTGTATCAACGTGATATCAGATCTCTCGATTCTTGAGAAATTAATGATTGTATAGCTGGATGTAAGGATTCGTAGCCATCGACACCAAATGTCACGATATAGTTGCTATTAGAGCTAACCAGGAAGCAACAATGAAATTGCTGCGTAGCGAACCTCATGATACAAACACAATTAGAGCTAGATGGGAAGCAACAGTAGAATCATGTTTCATCGCCTTCGGTACCAAACCTTGCCATACAATCATGCCTGGGAATCCACTGACATATCGCAACATATGGTACCCGTGCGATACAGTTGCGATCCGACCAAGCTGGGACAACAATGATGGGATCGCGAATAATTGCGGGGAAGCCAACAATAGATGTGCGACCATTAGGGTCCAAAATAATAGCGATTAAGCGAGGAAACGGATGATGGGATCACTTGCATGATCAAAGTGCAATATAGACGCGATTCAACTAGTTGGGAAGCCAACAAATGGGATCACGACGTTGAACCTCGCGCTATAGCCAACTATAGGATTGTGGCGTGTGAGATCAAGGAGTTTTTGGCTATGTTGTCGTTGTGCCTTAGTCTCAATACAAGTTTGATTTGAGACGAGAAGCCAAACAATGGAATCACGGGGTAAAGGAGTTTCAAAATTGTCCATAAGAGATTTCAACAGAAAAAGTTGATGCTTTGGAAGAGAGATTGAAAGGAGAGATATGACAACTTAAATTCAAGGTAGAAGAAAGATTTTTCTCCATTGACAATAGATTCTAGAACTTGGAGGAGATGAGAAGGAAACTTATTGAGATGTAGTTCAAGACCCTGCAAACTCAATTGACAAACCCTAAAAAGGGTTGAACGTAGTATCCATGGCCAAATCGAAAGGAAAAGAGATTGAACGTGAAAAACATAATAAGGAAAACATCCACCATCAAGAACTCCTCTTAGGACATTGATGAGGGATGAATTAGAGTTTTTGGATGGAGGGAGTTGGGCATTTCAATCGAAGAGACGTGGGTGGATTGAAAATTCTTGACTATAGAGATTTGCGTCGATGGAAGGAAGGTGGTGCTTCACAGTGACCCTAGCCTGTTCAAGATCTTGGTGTTAGCAGATCCATCGAAGGTGACAACTATATTGGAGGGACTGCTACCTAAAACCTGGATGGAGTTAAGAAAGCTGATGGGACTTATATGATACTATCAAAAGTTTGTGATGGGTTGTCATTTTATTGTGCGACCATAGAGGAAGAAGTTGAAGAAGGATAATTTTTAGCGGGGGAATGGTGTGTTAATTCGGGTCAACGGGTCGGGTTCGGGTCCGGTTGGAAAATGACCCCATCGAATAGGGTCAATTCAAACCCGACTCAAATAACAAACGGATCAAAAACTAAGACCAAAACCTGAGTTTGACCCACTAAACCAAACCTGACCCAAAGTTTCATGTTTATTCGGGTCTTGTTTGGTTTTTGAGATTCAACCAGAACCTGACCCGAATAATAAATGGGTTGATTTCTCTGACCCGAACCCGACTTGAAAATATTTAGGTCAACCCTAACCCAAATTTTTCGAGTCGTGTTGGTGTGTCAGGTCAATTTTGACACCTGTAGGCCAAAGTGATGACTTAGACTTTTGAGAAGTTAAAAAAGGCTATAACAAGTTTAGCAGGGTTGACGATGAGAACCAGACTCAAGCTAGTTTATGAGTGGAAGTCACACGACTTGATTTAGCAGCAGTTTCTTTTTTTCCCATCTTGAGGATAGGGTGTATTTTTTTGAAGGGTGGCATTGTTATGTCGGTGCCTAGTTTAAGGGCAATTTACCTTTGGTGAGCTTAAGGGCATTAGTCTTTTGTTATTTATTATTGTTTAGTATAAATATGACTAATTTGTTGAGAGTTAGGGTTATGCAGAAGATTGTTATTGAGTTTTAGTTTTAGGGTTTGGGAGAAATTTCCCACCTCTCGAATTGTAGTAATTGGGAGAAATCGTCTACCTCTCGAATCTTAGGTGCGTATCTTTATGTGTTTATATTTTGTTGTTTGGTATGTCTGCAATAAACATATTTTGTGCCCTAATTTCTGTGAAAACTTGACTTGAATCATATCACAATCACGAGATTAAAATACTTGATTTCAACCATTTTAATTCCTACCAGTACATCTATTTTTTTTTCCTTTACAAATTTCAGGATGCAGCATGGTTTTTCTTTACAGTGATTGTTTAACTGATCTATTAATATAAAGTGCCAATCAGTAAGCTCCACTTAAAACAACTTAATATAGAGTGAATCTTCTAGAAGATACAGAATAGGCAGATGTAAACGTGAACAAACACACTTTTGTTGTGTTTCAGTAAACTTCTATATAGATATAGAGGAAAATTTTTTTTTGGGGCATCTACGTACATACCACACAATTCCTATGTATTTACATATCTAACACCTATTTTTTTGCATTTATAACACCTTGTAGCTTTTGGATGGGAAAAAATAATTATTCTTCTTCAATATTTATGAAATGATTACAAAATAAATAGAGGGGATGTCTCCCATATTAGGAACATCATAAATCAACCATAACTACTCATGATAAAAAAGGAAACAAAAATTATAACATGCCAATAATACAAAACTCTAATAACAAAAGATGCTAAAAATAAAATTTCATAATTAATTTCAACACCTCCTCAAGTTGGAGCATAGATATCTATCTATCATCAACTTGCTTATAAGGACCTCAAAGTTCGGCCTGAATTATTCTTTGGTGAAGGCATCTACTATTTATTAAGCAGTAGTGACATGCAAATAGCTCCACAACCAATCTTCTCTTTTATGAAGTGTTTGTTGATCTACCATGCTTTGTGCGCTTATTTTGCATAGGATTTTCTGTAATGCTTATGACAGTTTTATTGTCACAGTATAACTTCATTGGCATATCTATCAGAATTCGTTGCTCTTCAAGAATTCTCTTCAGCCATAACATCTCTCATACTCCATTAGCTATAACTCGATATTCTGCTTCGATACTACTCCTTGCCATCACATTCTGTTTCTTACTTCGCCAGATAACCAAATATTCTCAGACATAAGTACAGTATTTGAAAGTTAATTTTCTGCAACAACTGAGCCCGCCCAATCTGCATCGGTGTATGCTTCTATATTATGTTTTGGGGTCTTCTGAAATAGTAAATCCTTGCCCGTTATAATTTTTAGGTATATGAGAATCATGTTAACTGCTTCAAAATGTTTCTCAGAGGGAGAATGCATAAATTAACTCACCAAACTTACAACAAAGGCGATATCTAGCCATGTATGTGATAAGTACACATTCCCCCTAACTCATGATATTGAGTTGTATTCATTAAGTCACAATTCTTCTCATCTCTCAGCTTTTAATTAGGATTAATTGGAGTATCTGAAGGCCTACAACTGCTCATCCCAGTTTCCTTTAGGAGGCCAAGAACATACTTCTTTCGGGAAGCAACAATTATTTTTTTCAATCTAGCAACCT